GGGGAGGGGTAGGAGATCAACCGAAGGACTTGTATGCATGCATATAAGCATAACCAATGGACACAGACAGTAGGGGGGTGAGGGGTATGTGCTGGAGGGTGGGGCGGCTGGGGAGACGTCACTCGGGGGTGAGGAAAGGAGATTTATGTAATACTTTAAACAATAAAGAATTTAAATAAATTTTAAAAAGCATAAACTTAGCTCTTTCTGGAAAAAAAAAAGAAGGAAATTGATCATCTTACCTGACCAGAAGCAGAGTCAGGGAGAACCAGGGCGATTAGCTCTGAGACTTACAATGGCATTGAGACTGGAGCTTTTTCATAAGAAAAACTTTCCTAGAGTGCATCCTCTTCCCCAGATTTTACCTTCCGTCTCATTGGCCAGTTATGTCACATGACCATGCCTCAACCAATTGCTGGCAAGGGGAGGGAGATTACTGTGATTGCCTTATTAGAGTCTAAGGCTTAGACTAACCAGCATTCACCTGTGTGGGCCTGGGACAGCCGTGGGCAAACTACGGCCCGCGGGCCGGATCCGGCCCGTTTGAAATGAATAAAACTGAAAAAAAAAAAAGACCGTACCCTTTTATGTAATGATGTTTACTTTGAATTTATATTAGTTCACAGAAACACTCCATCCATGCTTTTGTTCCGGCCCTCCGGTCCAGTTTAAGAACCCATTGTGGCCCTCGAGTCAAAAAGTTTGCCCACCCCTGGCCTGGGAGCACAGGGAAGGAGGTATGCTGCAGTTAAGTAATTGATGACTTCCCTTTCTTGTTCCAAAAAATCTCCCTTCAGCGACACCTGCCATTTAACAATATGATAATCAATAGGATTAAGTGACAAGGTTGAAGAAAAAAAACACACGCAAAAACAAAACCAAACAACCCCACAGTAAATGAAGGATGCATACAATGAAGCCTGACATACAATCAAGTACAAAACAAAAATTCCTGGCATCCTCTAGGCTTTCGAAGGGTGGGCCATGAACGTGGACTTAATAGTCAATGAGATGAAATTTAGCTACAGGTTGCAAATGGTGGTTTGTGGACCAAATGTGACCCATGAATGTGTTCTGTTTGGGCCTTTCCAGTAACTTGTTTGTGTGTATTTTTCAGTTGGTTTATTTTGTATGTATTGTTCAGTTGTTTGGTTGCCAACCTTAAAATATTGGGATATTTCATTTTGTTTGGAAGTATTTCTAACTTACCTTAAAAAAAATCAGCCTGCTCTTTCACCTGGCGGCCATCAGTGGAGCTGATGGAGTTGGCCCCCTCATGTGGCTGCTGGTCCACGTCCCCCATCTGTTACCTGCATTGCCTAAGGGCGTCTGAGTGTGTGACCCTGGGATAGTTTACCAAGTCCCTAGAATAGAAGCCAACCATTCCTCAGGAGAACATGGGTGTCCCAATCTTTCTTTTCTTTCTTTCTTTTTACTTCAGAGAGGAAGGGAGAGGGAGAGAGAAAGAGAAACATCAGTGATGAGAGAGAATCATTGATCGGCTGCCTCCTGCACGCCCCGCACTGGGGATCCAGCCCGCAACCTGGGCATGTGCCCTGACCTGGAATCGAACCGTGATGTCCTGGTTCATAGGTTGACACTCAACCACTGAGCCACGCCGGCCGGGCTGGTGTCCCAATCTTAAGCCTGGACCTCAACAAATGACCACTTGGGGTGTGATGAACACCCACCCTATCCTCACTGTAGACCCCTTGAGGACTCTCGCAGGATGGTTTCTTACTAAGGTTTTCCACACACACCAGGGGGCAAAGACAGAGGGAGTGGGCATGTGGGCAGATGGAGAGAGGGGTGTGGAAGTCTTCCACCACTTAGGCCAAGAGAAAGTTTCCGAAGGTGCTTCCCACTGGGGGATATTCCTGAAGAAGAATGCACTCCAACAGCTGTGAGAGTAAAGAGACCAGAAAAGGGTTTGGAATCAAGGACTGGATTTGGGGGAGGATTCTCACTCTGAGAACGGTTTTACAATCTGTCACTATCTTGCAGCTCCCATGTTTCACGCCACAGTGAAAGAGGTCGTGGATTTCAAGGGCTGCTTCTGCCTTCTGACTCAGCCTTCCGCGGCAGAATATGTCTTCCGGGCCAGAAACGCCCACCATCTCCATCGAGGGATTAAGAAACCCATACGAGACATTTTGTCACGTTTTGCTTTAACTGTGAAGCGCTTTCTCCAGAATCAGGTAGAGAGGTCTCGGAGCAGATGTGCACACAGATGGGGCTTATCTGATTTCCTGTCCGTGGCCGCCCACACACTGCCGGCTCTCCGGAAAGGTTAGATAATGAGTGACTCAGGGCGCCAAGAATGTGAATGCTGTGACATGCAGCCGGATCCAGCCCATGTATGGCTATTGTTCAACCCACCACAGCAAGGCTGGAAATGAGAGGCCGGCTTCCTTCTTAAAAGAGGGTTTTGCAACACATTTGTGTTTGTGAAATAACATCCATTCAGTTTTCTGGAGAGAGAGAGAAAGACAGAGAGAGAGAAACCTGAAGTGGTTATGAGGGCCACTCTGGTGCTCAGTAAGCAGTATCCATGAATGTTTAAGGTTCGTTCATCCACGCAGCTATCTGCAACCTAGCGGGGCACAGGGGTCTGACACGGGGAAGGTTAGATGGCAACTCCCAGTCAAGTTGCAAATACAAGTCTCCCTTCCTAGGGGAACCACCCCGAGTGTGGAGGGATTGTACCCACCACTGGGGAGTGGGGTGGAGCACACACCTGGAGAAGGGAGGAAGGAAGGCTCCCGAGACAGGGAGGACTCGGAGAAAATGAATGGAAAGTTCTGGGCACCAACCTTGGCAGACACATCTCGGGCCTCCACACTCGAGCCCTCCTGCATTGATTTGCCCAAGACACTGTGGTGGCTCTGGATAAGGCCCCTTTTTCACCATTGCATCTTCTCTCTAGTAACTGCTCGTGGGTGTTGTTGTTTTTTTAATATATTTTATTGATTTTTTACAGAGAGGAAGGGAGAGGAATAGAGAGTCAGAAACATCGATGAGAGATAAACATCGATCAGCTGCCTCCTGCACACCCCTCACTGGGGATGTGCCCGCAACCAAGGTACATGCCCTTGACCGGAATCGAACCTGGGACCTTTCAGTCCGCAGGCCGACGCTCTGTCCACTGAGCCAAACCAGTTAGGGTGACTGCTCATGTTTTATAACAACTCTGACATTGTTTGGCTTCCTGGGGATCCGTAAATCAGCCAGGATAATACAATCGTCATTGTTAATCCAGTTGATCACTTTCTACCTGACTCTCCCAAACACTTCACTCTTATTGACCTGTTTGATCCCTACAGTAACCTGTCAGATGAGGATTTCCATTATTATCTTCGTTTCTACTGATGAAGAAATTGAAGCACAAAGCGATGAGACAACTTGCCAAAGTCACTTAGCTAAATGGCAGAGCTGGTGTGCAACCAACGTGATGTCACGGAACAGGCCGGTGGGGAGAGGGTGCCAGCAGGAAGTGGCTCCCCCCCCCCCCCCCATCCCCCCCCGCCAGTCCCGGAGAGCTGCTCTATGCACTGCCACTGGTCCCTGCCTTCTTCAGCTTCTTTTCTTTCTTTTCATTTTTTAAAGTAATTTTTTAAATATATATATAATTTTTAGTGATTTCAGAGAGGAAGGGGGAGAGAGAGAAACATCAATGATGAGAGAGAATCATTGATCAGCTGCCTCCTGCACGCCCCCTACTGGCATGTGCCCTTGACCGGAATCGAATCCGGGTCCCTTCAGTCCACAGGCCAACACTCTATTCACTGAGTCAAACCGGCCAGGGCTTCAGCTTCTTTTCAGTAACTTCCTGGACTTTTCCTTCACCCCACCTTTTAAACTAAGGAGTGACTAGATCAACACGCTCCACTCCTCTCCTTCAGAACGCATGGCCCTTTTAGAGTTATGTGTGTGTTACATCCTAACCTGACTGGGCATCCGGACCTGGGTTCGACACACAGCATTGTTTTCACTGTGTGTTTCCGGTTCCTTCACTTCTTCAGGTCTCCCTGGATTCCCACATCTACAGAACGAGGTGTTAACTTGATCAGTGATTTTCAACATGGACAGAGGGGTGCAGGGGGTTTTTCCCGCTGTGTGGTCTAGGCTATTCGTGGTCACTTCTATCAAAACAGACCTGTCCCGTGTTGCCTTCCCCCAACGCCCTGCCATCTAGATGACAGAGAGCAAGCCTGACAGGTCCCCCCGGCCCCAGGGTGTGCAGGAGGCAGCTGATCGATGTTTATCTCTCATCCCACCCCCGTTGGATTCACTGCTGTAGAAGGCTCCTGCTGCTGCCAGGAGTGGTCTCAGCTCTTCGCAGTGTGGGGTGGAAAAAGGCTGAGTCACCCGCTGTTCCAGATGATCCCTTAGGGCCATGGCAGTGCGCGTGTTCCAGGAGACAACGACTTCCACAAAACTCTGGTGTGAACAGCAAGGTCGCCACCCTGGGATTCATGCTGTGGAGCAAAGAAACAGAGGATTAGCCTCAGAAATTGTGGAAGGAGTGAGGGAATGGGGTCACGTCATGAGTCACAGAAATGTTTTCTTATTTTTATTTTTTTAATTGTTGACAATATTACAGATGCCCCCCAATCCCCCCCACTCCCCTCTCCTCCCAACCCCTGCCCCACCCCGGACTATTGTCTGTGTCCATTGGTTATGCATATATGTACATAAGTTATTTGGTTAATCTTTTCCCTCCCCCTCCTCCTTCCCCTCTGAGATCTGCCAGTCTGTTCCATGTATCCATGCCTCTGGACCTGTATTGCTCATCAGTTTGTTATGTTCATTAGATTCCACATGTGAGATGATGAGATATTTGGCTTTCCCTGACTGGCTTATTTCTCAGCATAATATTCTCCAGATCCATCCATGCTGTCTCGAAGGGTGAGAGATCCTTCTTTTTTATAGCTGCGTAGTATTCCAGTGTAAACATACCACAGCTTTCTGTGTAATAGAGTCATCTGGATGTGCCCTGGGTTGTCTGAGGGAGGGGCGGAGTCACTTGTCCAGCCTGTAGGGAGGTCTTTAGACTCCTGATCACCCAAAGCCCCTCTTGGCCCAGGGCTCTGCTTGGACAGGTGCCTGCAGGGGGACTGCCCACTGACCGGGCTCCTCTCCCACCACCGAGGGAGTCTGTCTCCCCTGGTCCCCACTGCTGTGGGTTCAGTCAGCATAAGCATTTAGTGAGTGTCTACTGAGCCTAGAATCGGGCTGGATGGGGAGCAGGGAAAGAGAGGGCAAAATCCCAGTGGGCTTCAGGCCCTGCGCTGAGGAGGCTCTCAGCCCAGCCTCCTCGCCCCTGCACAGCTCATAGGAGGGAAAGAAAAAGCCTGGGGGGATGAACAGGAGGAAGTATTTCTAACTTACCTTAAAAAAAAAAAAAAAAAAAAAGCCCAGGTGATGAGCCACTTCTGAGGGGCGGGGAGGGGGGTTGGACAGTTGTGCTCTGACCCGAGTTCCTCCAAGTCCCCTGAAAACTCAGACTCTGGGCTCCTATCCCCCCAAAATGTCCACATACCAGATTCTTGCTTCTGCTTAAATTATATTTCCACAGAATTTCCAAACACAACAGGGTTTTGCTATTACCATAGTAACCCCTGCGTGTGAACAGCAGACTCCACAGGGAGGAGGATGAAAATACCCAGGAACCCGAGCTTCAGAAAGGTGCGCAGAGCAAGGGGCAGCCAGGTTGGGCTGGCGGCCACCTGCCTGGTCCTGCCCGGAGGGCCTGGGGCCTCTTCCCGCCTGATCGGGGCCTTGAGGATGGAGGTGGTCTGTGCTTTCTTTTGCAGCTGTGTTTGCCCATAAGTTATAGTATCTGGAAGCCCAAGACATTGCCCTGGTTTTTGTCTGGTTGACATGTAGACTTTTCTTCCTTTCTTTCCTTTCTTTCTTTTCTTTTTTTTTCTTTCTTTCTTTCTTTCTTTCTTTCTTTCTTTCTTTCTTTCTCTCTCTCTCTCTCTCTCTCTCTCTCTCTCTCTCTCTCTTTCTTTCCCAGGAGATCTGGGGGAAGATACTTTTATTTTCAGATGGTGTCATCTTGTGGCACAGTCTGGAAGAGCCAGAATGCAAACAAAGCTGAATAGACAGGGGGATGAAACCAAAGAGCCGGAAGGAATGCCCGAAGCTGAAAGCATGGTCCCCTTAGGTGTGCACCAGTCCTCGGGTAGAAAGGGCCTCCATTCAGGCTTTCACAACAACTATGACAAGAGCAACAAACAAATCAGCAGAAACCGGCTGAGTTGGGCAGGGCAGGCTAACATTCTCCATCGAACGTTCTGTCTGCAGGAAATGAAATGGCCTGTCAGTAGTGAAGGGGCAGCGCATAAAGACAACGACATTATCGGACATCACGCAGGTGAAGCGCGCACCACAGTGCCTGGATCTGAGCCAACAGGGTTGCCACTTGCAGAAATGCAGCGGGCCCTGACCGGTGGCTCACTTGGTTGGAGCATCAAGTGAAGCATCGTCCCCTACATCAAAGGATTGCAGGTTGAATTCCGGTCAGGGCACACACCTAGGTTGTGGGTTCAATCCCCAGCAGGGGTGCATATGGGAGGCAACTGATAGATGTCTCTCTCTCTCTCTTTCTCAAAATCAATTTTAAAAACATATCCTTGGGTGAGGATTTTTTTTAAATGCAATGGGATGTTGTTAGGGGCACCTCCATTAAAGGCGCCCTGGACTTCCTCCTCTAGGTGGAAGTTAAGTGGAATCGTCACTTAACTTTTATTTTTTTTCTTTCTTTTATTGATTTTTTTACAGAGAGGAAGGGAGAGGGATAGTGAGTTAGAAACATCGATGAGAGAGAAACATCCATCAGCTGCCTCCTGCACACTCCCTATTGGGGATGTGCCCGCAACCAAGGTACATGCCCTTGACAGGAATCGAACCCAGGACCCTTGAGTCCGCAAGCTGACGCTCTATCCACTGAGCCAAACTGGTTAGGGCGTCACTTAACTTTTAGAGACCATGGCCTTAAAGTACGTGTGTGTGTGTGTGTGTGTGTGTGTGTGTTGCTCACATACACATACAGAAGCTTTTCAAAACACTTAAATCTCTAAGCTATATAGTTGGTGACACTTCACACCATAAACTCCTGCTTTCATTCTTCTAGGCATCAGGGTGGGAAATACAGAAGGGACTTGAGCTCCAGCAATAACAACCCCAGAGCCCTGCGTCCCCTCCAGGCCTTGCCCGTGCTGGGCCCCCTCCCGGAGCCCCTCCCCACACTCTTCTTTTGTCTGTGCCTGTGCAACCTCAGTGTCCTCTGAACAGCCTCTCCCACTGGTAGTTTCTCGGGCTTTCTTAGGAGCTGAATCTAAAAGAAGTTTTCTTAGCAGATGAGACATTTCCCGCTTGCGATTTAACTGAGCCGCCACTGGGGCCTGGCGGTCCCTCCACTACATCCTGGCAGACCTTGCCGAGCAGGAACGCAGCAGCCGCCAAAGCAACACAAGAGGTGTCTCTGGTCAAACCCTCACTGCGGGCAGGGCCTCCACCAGGGGCGAGGGGATGTAGTAACATCTCACCAAACCCTCTCAAAGGCGCACCCGGTTTACAGTTAGGAACCTGAGGCTCGAGGGGGTCAACAAACCTTTCCTAAGTGGGGATGTTGTGTACGGCCTGGTGCCTACAGTTCACAATGCTCCATGGGATATGTGAAAGCTGCTGAGAGTAAATCCTAGAAGTTCTCATCACAAGAACAAAATGTGTAACTCTGTGTGGTGATGGATGTTAAATAGACGTATTATGGTGATCACTTTGCCTTTACACCAATATTTGAATCATGACGTTGTGCAGCTGAAATTCATATAATGTCATATGCCAATTATACCACAATTTACCAAAAGATCAGTCCTCACTTGCATTTAAATTGTAGCGGGGCAACAGAAGATGAAATAAAGTTGTATCATTAAAAAATTTTTTCCTCGCCCTGACCGGTTTGGCTCAGTGGATAGAGCGTTGGCCTGCTGACTCAAGGGTCCCAGGTTCAATTCCAGTCGGCGGCATGTACCTTGGTTGCAGGCACATCCCCAGTGGGGGTGTGCAGGAGGCAGCTGATCGATGTTTCTCTCTCATCAATGTTTCTAGCTCTCTATCCTTCTCCCTTCCTCTCTGTAAAAAATCAATAAAAAAATATTAAAAAAAATTTTTTTTTCTCAAATGGTAAGAGATCTTTCTTTTTCATAGCAGCGTAGTATTCCATTGTGTACATGTACCACAGTTTTTTTTATCCACTTATCTGCATTGCTTTTTTAAAAAGAAAAATAAATAAGAATTTCTATGGTGAGTATATATAAACAGGAAAAAAATGTCCTAAGCCAAACAACTATCAAGTGGAAAAGCAGGGGTTTAAACCCAGAACGTGGGCCAGTGCCCTGGCCTTGACCACCGCGTGGAGTTGCTTTTGTTACATGTTCATCATGCCGCAACAGGGATGGTGAAAATGCGCATTTAGCGTTTCCCACGGGGTAAACTGTCAAGGGGGGAGGTGGTGGGAAGGTGGTTGGGCTGGGCTGGCGACACTGAAGCCACGCTGGCTTTTGGGGTCCATGGTGGCCACGTGCTCCCTGCCCGGCCTCGCCGGGGTAACTCCGGGTCCCAAAGTATCATGCCCTCCCATGGGTTCTCGGTCTGGAATATCCTCACCATCTCAGCCGCCTGGCTCCTCGAACTCCTGTGTGCCACCCAGATTCCTGCCTGACACCTGAATCACCTCCCCGCAGCTGTCGGTCTGATGGCAGGTGTCCCCCCACCTGAGGGCCCCTAGCAGGCAGTGAGCGCTCCTGGGTGGGTGTTGAGTCTATTCTTATTTTCCCAGATACCAGGCCTGAAATCTTTCCTTTCTTTCCGCATCTCATAGCTATCTGATCCACAGTACATCCTGCCAGCTCTATCTGCCCTCCACCCTGCTCCTCACCTCCCCTTCTCTCACTCGCATTACTGCAGGGCGTTCTGGCTGATCTCCCTGCTTCTCCCCTTCCCCACCCCACCTATTCTATTGCTACCACAGCAAATCATGTCACTCCTCTGCCCTAAAGTCTCAAATGCTCCTCATTTCACTCAGAGTTGAAGTCAAAGTTCTTTTCATGTCCTATAAGATGATCTGCCTGCACCCCTTATTTCTCTATGATTTCATCTCCTTCAATGGCCCCCTCCCAAACGCAGCCCCAGACAGGTGACTGGCTCCCAACCGGTCTTAGCCAGCACCCCTCTGCCTCAGGGCCTTAGCATAGCTACTCCTCTAACTGGACAGCTCTGCCCCAGACATCTACATGGCGTGGTCCCTCTCCTCCCTCGGTCCTCACGAAGGCTTAGTGAGGCCTTCTCTAAGCACGCGCTTTAGAATTGCAAGGCCCGACCTCATACTTCCCTCCCCTTTTCAGCTTTGTTTTCCTTCAGGTTTACCTAACAGAGTATATAATTTTTATACGTATCTTACTCATTTGTC